GGTTGAACGAATGGGTTCAACCATGGGCATCCATGCTGGTAGCGTCATGCTAGAGGCTCTCAATAGAGATGCCCAACATGCTACTATCGCCAAGTTCATTCAAAATGAACTTGACACTGAACGCGAGAAAGTAGCCTTGCTTCACCAACAAGGTTCTCAACAAGCAGAGTTGTTGAGAGAACAGGGTGTTCAACAGTTTGAACTGTTGAGACAGCAGCAGGCTGCTGCTGGTGGGTCGATGCACTCGCGTCGACCCGAGACTTTGAAGATTGACATCTCCAAGTATAGGGGGGTCGAAGAAGACTCCCTCTTGAGATGGTTCGTCGAATTGGATGACGCCATAAGGGCGCGTCGCATCGACGACGGGGATATGCAAGTTGCATTTGCCCAGTCAAATCTGGCAGGACGTGCCAAGACTTGGGCACTGGGGCTCAAGTTGCACGACCCATATGCGTTTGGGTCGTTAGAAGCCTTCAAGTCGCGGCTCAGACAAACGTTTAAACCGCCCAGAGCTGAGTTCAGGGCTCGAACCGAACTCTTGAAGCTCAAACAGGGTAAGCGTGATGTGCACGCTTACGCGCAACATATACGACATCTTACGAGCTGTATAAGTTCCAATCCGGTTGATGAACACACGTTGGTTTCGGTGTTCATGCAGGATCTTGCGGATAATCCCGTCAAGACTCACCTGTTACGACTTGAACTAGATTCACTAGAACAAGCCATTTCCATTGCGGAACAGGAAGACTTCAGTCTGAGACAGGCTTGCGCCAGCTCGACATCATATCGTCAACCGAGACGATATGACAACGGAGGTCCAGAGCCGATGGAACTCAGTTATACAGAGAGCGAGAAGGTTCGCTCTACAGACTACAAGAAGTTCCAGAAATGCAACAGATGTCAAAAGACAGGACACTACGCTTACGAGTGTAGTGCCCTTCGTCCAGTGTCTCGCAACACTGGGCGTAATGACCGTCCACCCATGAGAAAGGGGCAGGGACGAGGGTCCGCTGTTGGTGCAAAGACGCAGCAACGGGATGGACCGTCAAAAAACGGACAGGATCAGTAGGTGCGGAGCACCCTACTGGTCCAGCAACGTCAAGAGAATTTGTAGGCCTCTTGATGAAGGTTGCTCCCAACACACAAACGTTGTGCGTTGCTGCTCTAGGTAATGAGGTCTCACTCATTACCTTGAAACTCGAAGTGACGAATAAGTTGTCGCTTCGAGATCTAGTCGATTGTGGGGCGTCCAACAATTTTGTGCGACGCCAATCGCTAGAAGATGGTCACTTCAAGTTCAGTGAATGTGACACACCTCCTACGAGGATGACGGTACGTCTTGCGACAGGCGCATCCGTAACCGTCATAAAGTGTTTAGTGAAGATCCACTATACGCTAGAAGATACCCAATATGACGATGACTTAATCGTATTGGATTTGGATGACAAATTTGATATCATCATTGGAATACCGTGGATCAGAAGGTACGAACCACGGGTAAACTGGCAACATCGAACAGTAACGATGCCTGCCGCTTGTTCATCAGATGGCATCTGATGAACGTTTTGGAGCGTCCACAAGCGTGTGGATGTACTACGAGTGAGTGCGATGGCCTCACTTGTGCTACGGTCGTTAGTACGACTGCACAAAACCTTAGTGTACCAAACGGTTACACTTCGGAGCAAGCTTCCGGCGGCTATGAGGAAACACAGGCTGCACCGAAGGTCCACCACTCGAATAAGTCGAGTGAACTGGGACAAAGATGTATCCCTAGCGGGTAACGTCTGGAAGAGAAACCATTGATCGCTCAGGTTAAGCGAAACGATAATCCTAGATCGATTGCAGAGTCTTTCGTACAGGAAGTTAAGGGAATCAGTCCCGATATTACACATACAGTGGAAATAAGTTTCCCGAAACCCGAGGGAACAAGTCACCGGGAAGCCGAAGGAATGAGTCCTTCGAAGCCTGAGGGAATATGTCCCCAGGAATTGACAGAGACATTGAATGTCCTCTTCAATGATGGATCAAGTGTAGGCGCTTATACCTGATCTGATCGCGCCTTTGAAGTTGACTTCGGGGATCACTCAGTTGCCAACGCTCGAACATAAAAGATTCTTGCGTGATCTGTGTAGTGGAAAAGTCAAGCAGATCTGCGAAGGAATAAGTCCTTCGAAGCCTGAGGGAATATGTCCCCAGGAATCGACAGAGACATTGAATGTCCTCTTCAATGATGGATCAAGTGTAGGCGCTTATACCTGATCTGATCGCGCCTTTGAAGTTGACTTCGGGGATCACTCAGTTGCCAACGCTCGAACATAAAAGATTCTTGCGTGATCTGTGTAGTGGAAAAGTCAAGCAGATCTGCGAAGGAATAAGTCCTTCGAAGCCTGAGGGAATATGTCCCCAGGAATTGACAGAGACATTGAATGTCCTCTTCAATGATGGATCAAGTGTAGGCGCTTATACCTGATCTAATCGCGCCTTTGAAGTTGACTTCGGGGATCACTCAGTTGCCAACGCTCGAACATAAAAGATTCTTGCGTGATCTGTGTAGTGGAAAAGTCGTCGCTGACGACGAGTGTGTGGCCGACATAAGGTCAGCAACAATGTTTACTGAGAACGAGAGAGTTCTCAGCAGTTCATCCATGGATAAAAGCGTCCTAGATGAAAAGACACGAATTGAGCGATATGACTCCCAATCGTGGGAATCGCTCAAGAAAAATCCTTTCTATGAAGATTTGGTTGAATTCAAGGATGTATTCCCTGAAACTGTTCCGTGCGAATTACCAAAGGATAAAGGTATTCGACACGAGGTCGAACTTAAACCAGGCTCGAAGTACTGTGTCATGAAGCAGTGGCCACTGCCTCGTGAACAAGTACTTGCGATCGACAAGTTCTTTGCTGATCGTTTAGCTGCGGGCCATGTGAGGGAATCAACTTCCCCACGTAGCTCTCCGACCTTCTGTGTGCGAAAAGCAACAGGAGGGTGGCGGATTGTGCATGCATTTAACAAGTTGAATGCTGCAACGGTACCGGCTCAGACGCCGATACCAAGGAAGGACGTAATCATTGATGGTATGTCAAAGAGTACCATCTTTTCGTCCATGGATTTGATGGATGGCTTCTATCAAATCCTTATGCGAGAACGGAATATACCCTATACCGCAGTGAGCACGCCTAGCGGCATGCTCTGGGAATGGCTAGTAATGCCACAAGGGCTTAGTAATGCCCCTGCCACGTTCAACAGATGTGTATCACATCTGTTGAGACCAGTACGAAAATTTGCGCCGAGCTATTTCGATGACGTATTCATCCATAGTCGAGCTATGGATGGAAAGTCGGACGTTGAGGTTCACAGGTACCACGTCCGACAAGTTCTTACAATCATGCGAAAGCATCAATTGTATGCTAACCTCAAGAAGTGTATATTTGCCGCAAGCGAAATACCACTTCTTGGGTGCATCGTTGGTAAGAACGGTGTACGTCCTGATCCCGAAAATATCAAGGCGATCACCGACTGGCCTGTGCCGGTTGATGTCAAAGGTCTTCGAGAATTCGTTGGGCTAGCGGCGTATTTGCACAAGTATTCACGCAATGACGCCGAGATGACTGTGCATCTCTCTCGTTTGTTGAAAAAGAACGAGAGGTGGTTATGGAACGCTGAATGTCAGCGCTCCTTTGATGGTATCAAGCAGAGCTTGATACAATCCCCAGTCCTAGCAATAGCCGATCAAGACAGGCCATTTCATGTGGTCTGTGATGCCAGCGATTTCGCAATCGGCTGTGCATTAATGCAGTACGATCTTAAAGGTTGAACACGTCGTCTGCTATCAGTCGCGTCAGCTGCAACCAGCTGAGCGGAACTATCCAGTGCATGACAAGGAACTCCTTGCCATGAAGTATGCACTCGCGAAGTTCAGAGTCTATCTCTTAGGAGATAGACCCTTCTTTGTTTACACTGACCATGCGTCATTACGCACGGCAGTGAACAGCCCGCACCTTTCACAACGAATGGCGCGGTGTTTGTCATTCTTTGCAGAATACAACTTTAAGGTAGAGTACAAACCAGGACGACTTAATGTCGTTGCTGATGCACTCTCACGTCGTCCCGACTTTGAAACAGTCGCGAAACCCAACAGTGAGACAGTCACTGTTGCGGCTATGACGTCCTCAGTCCCATCTACAACGTTGTATGATGATGTGAGGCGGGCATACGCCCAAGATGGTGAGATAGTGAAGTTGTTGACACATCTCTTTCAACCATCTCGAGAATCTTTGAAACGATTGTCGTCTGCGTATCGATCTGCATCAGATCGATACACTACTCGTAACGGTTTACTGTACTATACAGCCGTTTCTGGTGACACACCACGTGTTGTCATTCCAGATGATACTGATCTGCGTTTGCGGATCATGTTCGAGTATCACGATGCTTCTATAGGAGGACATCGTGGCCATGAAAAAACATATCGCACGGTGATTCGAGACTTTTACTGGCCCCGCCAGTGTCAGTTCGTGCGAAAGTATGTTCGCGCATGCGAAGTCTGCCAACGAGTGAAGTCAAGCCCTTCACTGCGTGCACCTTTACAGCCTCTACCCGTTCCGGCAGAATGCTTGGAATCCGTCTCAATGGATTTTGTCTTCGGGTTACCCAAAGACGCACGCGGGAATACGGGTATTCTCGTATTTGTTGACAGATTCAGCAAAACGGTACACCTTGTGGCTGTACCAGAGTCAATCACGGCAAGTGGCTGTGCTTGTATCTTTATTGACACCATCTTCCGACTTCATGGGTTGCCCCGTGAACTCGTATCAGGCAGAGATCCACGATTCACTGCTGATTTCTGGCGTTCCGTGTTCAAATCACTCAGAACGCGCTTGAAGATGTCGACATCTGATCATCCCGAGTCAGATGGTCAGAAGGAACGGGCCAACCGTGTCCTTTAAGAGATCCTTCGAGGATAGTACACTCCTTCAAGAGTTGGAGTGAGTTCTTGCCAATGGTAGAGTTTGCCATTAACAACTCGGTGCATGCGTCCACGACCCATACACCGTTTTACGTGAATGGCTTGCGCCATCCGCGTGTACCCACCTTACTAGAGTGTAACTCTGGTTTAAGGGGGGGATGGACTCGCGCGAGCAAAAACCGATTTGGTTCACGCTCATCATGCTCTGACAAAGAAGTCATTGCGTTTGATGCCGATATCGATAACATCGATATCGAAGAAGATGATGCCAGTGAGAGTGCGGAAGCCCTCACTGAAGACAATGATCCCAGTGAGAGTGCGGAAGCCCTCACTGAAGAAAAGGTTGATGTTGCTGCAGTGCGCTCACAGCACACTGAAGCTAACGAGTCATCAGATGAGTTCATACTGGCTCGTGAAACGGTAGTCCGTTTTGTGCAAGACTACATCGCCGAAGCGGTGGATAAGCAAAAGCAAAACGCTGAAAAGAATGGAAGGGCAAACACTCTTTTATTTAATAAAGGTGACTTAGTCCTACTGTCTACGGTTAATCTACCAAAGCATGTAATGACTAACTTGGGTAGCAGTAAACTACTACCCAAGTACATTGGCCCATTTCGTGTATTGCACCGCCTAGGCAATGCATACACGATCGAGTTGCCACGTAAGATGCGAACGCATCCCACGTTTTACGTTGGTCGGCTTAAGCCGTACCATCAGTACGCTGCTTCTTCCGATGAAGAACGCCCTTGCGCTCAAGCATCTCGCAGAGAGCGTTGTGCTCCCGATGGTGGGCATCAACAAGGGTCTGAAGAGCAGCTATCTCATCCCGAGACCGATCAACAATCCCACGAGCTACCCTTAGCTCGTCACGAAGAGATGTCAGAGATCTCTCGTTCTCAAGCTGAGCAAAGGCAAACTCAGCTCGATGCTTCGAAGCAGTGTCCGCCATTTGGAGACGCCTATTCCGCTCATGTTCGAGATCGTCGCGTAACCCTTGCGTTACGCGATCAAAGAAGCTCTCGGGAACACACCGATCCACATGATCGTGTGGAGAGCGTCTTTCCTCCTCCTCCACCTCCTCTGAAGGACTCTCGTGATGGCCAGCGCTATCTGATGAAGCGGCTATTGAGCCGCCGCGACGTGAACGGACGTCGGACGAGTTATCTCGTCAGGTGGCGCGGTTATCCCCCGTCCTGGGATACTTGGGAGCCCGCTCCCAACTGATGGTTGACTTAATGGGTCTGGTCGAGCAGTACGACGTGGCACATCCTGTGCCGCAAAAGGGCCGCTGGAGAAAGTCTTCTCGGCACGGTCGTAAAGGGATTTCAGGCTGTCAATCCCTTCGTACATCTCACAAGAGATACGTACGCGCCAACACGTGCTATAAAGAAGGTAAGCCCACTTAGGTGCGCGTGCAGAGCTGTTCGCACAAAAAGGGCACGGGTCTCCCCAAGAGAGGCAGGGTAATCCTTTCTCCCTTGACAGACGATGCAGCTTGTAGCGTGCACCTGTTGGGGTTCGCTTTTCAAACTTATCACGAGCTTTGATGAGTTTGTCGTTCCAAGCGTCACGACCTACATCCTCAAGGTTATGGATGCAAGCGTTCCACGCTTGAAGCAGTGAGGGACCATCGCGCTTGTGATTCCCACTGTACCATCGATTTCTAAAGAAAGCATCGATGAAGAATTCATGTTCAGCGCGATAGTTTTTCGCGCTGGGGTCAAGGTGATGGATCCTTGACGAATCGAACAACCGTGTTCGATAACGATCACTCGTCGTCGCCGACAAGTGATCCATGACTGATTTAGGAGGCATCCATGCCTTTTTCTCAGGAGCGAGACGCAACACATTGCGGTCCCGCTCTTCCTGCGACGTGCCGACAGAAGCACTGGCACCTCGCTGTGAAGTGGTGTCGATAGGAGAACCGACACCACCATTAGCGCCTGAGTCTCGCGACCTCGAGCGCCTTCGCTTCGGCGATGGTTCATCTGATGAATCAGATGAACCATCGCCGAAGCGACGCAAAGCATCGTCCATGCCACGCTTGGCAGGCGGCTTAGATTCAATCGCCGTCGATACGGATCCGTCATCCGTATCAGGAGAGTACGAGGCACCGAGCTCGTACTCTGTGAAGACACGAGTGTCTTAATGACCAGCGCCTGCATCACCAAGTGACACAGGCTGGGTCGCTTCAGCAACCGATGAGACATCAGTTGCTGTTGTTTCTGCTTCGGCGTCCGCACAGACACGTGCGGAACACTCTCGGCGGCCTTGCTCGCGCATCGCATGGGCTTGTAAGCATGCGATAAAATGTTGGAAAGTGGACGCGGACCAACAAGTGCAAACCCTGTCCCAAATGATTTGGGACGAGTATCCATTTAGTCAATCAGTCACTAAAGTGACTGATGGTTAAGGGGGGGGTGATGTAACGGGGTGAATCGTTACATAACAATTTATAAGAAATTGTTAATAGAATATAACTATAAGAGTTATATTCTCAGAATATTGTCATAAGGACAAATATTCTGTAGCACTTACGAGTAGTTCCTAATTGATTGACATATGCCATTATATCAACCAACGAAGACGCGCAACGACAGACGCACGCAATGAGTGGTGAGCAGATAGTTGATTTACACATTTGTATTTAGACATAGTTAGATGAAGATGAATAGTGATTTATTGCAGACATTAACTATACTAAATACATTTCTACTTTTTACTTTAACCAAGTACTCGCTTCTTCTTCCCGTCTTCCTCTGCACGTACGAGTGTACGTGAAGTTACGAGGCACCGCCTTATTCTGTCATCAGAATAAGTAGCTTGTACTGTCACCAGTACAAGCTTCAGGGTGCCCCGTTACAAAATTATAACACGTCGCCGACTTAGCGACATGCATAGAATGTTCGAACTTAGTATTTCATCATTTCTAAATGAGATTGTAAATCAATTTTGAGACCGGTGGTTTTCTCAATTCTACCCATCAGAAGGCGTAAATCGAGTAAATGACGGTAATATGTAGGGGTGGGGTGGTTCACGAAAACCTGAGAGGTGGTTAACGTTTCCCTTTAAATAGCTGTAATATGTATTCGTATTTACGCCATGATCTTATTTCATTATTTCAACATGAGCTTACGTTGAAGTCGGTCGCAAGCCCAGCTGATCGTCTGGATTCTGCAGACTTCCTTACCATAAAAGTTCCAAGTTGTTGGAAATGTGAACCCACTGTTGGAATCGTAGTGGCGTAGACTGGTATAGCATGCTGCAAACAATCGTAAACGGGCTTCGCGGCGCAGTTGTAGTTTACCACTGCCAAGTAAGGCGAGGCACATACGATACAGACACGCAAAATTGCCTTAAATGGCACGTCGCCATCACGTAAGCAAACAACTCTTGGTATCGTAAACCTCCGCTTGCATTTCAGTGGAGCTGGCATGCGACAATGTAGTAGCTGGTGCGCATATCTATCGATGCAAAGTGAAGGCAATGATAGCCAAGCCTCAGCGAAATGTAGCAAAATGTACAAGTTTCATGCTGGTTGCTTCGTATGCAAGAAGACTGTTCCCACACGAGCGGCATCATGTGTTTGCTCTGGAACACGGCGCATTACCTCAATTAGCCTTCACTATCTCTTTCATTCAACAAGTGTGCAATTGCTCTGATACCTTGTAAGATCAAAACAATTTTAAAAGTGACGAGCTCGTCAACCACGATATATTTTTTCGAAAGGGGTTGGAAACCTACAGCTGGAAGCTACATGTCCGCACGTGGAGCAGGTTCACTCGGAACTTGCACAATCTCCCTTATATACGGTGCATTACTCATCACTGACCATGGCTCCGAGTAGATGACGACTTCGTAGGCTGAAGTCGTCGGGCATGCGCCGTCGCGGCAGTAGCCCAACTCGATCTCCGTGTTCACATGGCAGCCCCTTACTTGGAACCGGTTGAGTACACCACCATCCAACGTCTTCACCGTTAAAAAGTCAGTGAAGCAGATCCGGTTGGTCACGCCCGCGCCGTACAGGCTTGGGTGGCATGCGGTTGTTGTTAGAAATGCTACGTCGTTGACAGCCATCGGCCGCGAAGAGCCGTTTTTGGCCTCATCAAGCGGGTCGACGATCACTTGAAAAGCAACCGACGAAGATAGCACGAGTCCAGCAAGAAGAGCAACCGAGCGGACGTACGTCATGGCAGTGGAGGAGGTCGGACCTTGAACGGGAACAGCCACTACCTCGGAGATGAATCGGAGCGTGGTGTAAAGATGGAAGGTTGAGAAGTGTTTCTGGCCTCCCGCACAGCGGGGGGGGGGGAGCGGCAGCTCATCGCTTTGTGGCATCATAAATGATACGTAAAGAGGGATTTGGAACGAACAGAGCATCTGAGAAATGTTGGTGAAAAATCTAGCGAATTCAATTGTCGCCGGTATTGGATCACTTCGTACGACACGCTCTCCGGCTGCTTCAGCGCGTTCATTGTCACGGTAAAATCGTTACCGGTCACCTCATGCGATCTTGGTGGACAAATCCAGGCCTGTACACTTAGTCGATGAGGTCTTCTCTTCTCGCTTTGTCCACGCCGAAAATTGTCATTCGCAACATCGTCGTACCGTGCTGCTTTGTTGATGCGTTTTCCTGTCGTACCTTTCATAGGCATCGGAGCGGATTGTACGTGCTCATGGGTTGTGGCAAGCTGCCGCTTTTTTCACTGGCTTAATGCGACCAAAGGGGGCACAAATGACGGTCCGAGATGGATATGCTGATGCTAGTCGAAACACGTACATCGGATGCGCGCGAGCCAAGCGTACTACAATCGCTGCAATCGCCAGTTGTGACCAAAACATGGCTGCCTTCCTGTTCCGACAAAATGACTTCAATGAAAGACGTGGTAGCTGGTTGCAATTAAGTGGTCCAATAGCAAAGGGAACCTGATCTTACGCTTCGATTCTTCCGTTTATACCCGATGCCATGACTTACATTACGGCACAAAGCAATCTAGCACGTACAGTTTACGTACGAATTCATCTACGCGATTGTTCCTCCGATCCAGTCCTGCGCTCGTAGGTATCAAATAGTCACTGTGATTACGACACTGCTATTTGGTAGACTCTGCACGTCAGGTGCGCGAGTTCCGAATGTCTTTCATGAGCAGCAACCAACAGCACACGAAGAGGAGCACCGAGTTGTCACAGTCCGTGTCACAGTCCGTGCTGCTACTTCTGCTGAGTTCACTCCAGCCACAAAAAGGTTTGCAAACACAACAATCGACACGGTAAAAAGGTTTAGGATCCAATACATTTCCTGATGCATCAATTTCTGGATGTTTAGGTGCCATCCTATCTTGTCTGCATCGACGATGTCATTTGCGAACTGTATGAATTCACCGTCCTACGGACATTCTCCGTTACAACCTAGTTTGTGGCGAGAATTTATGGCTGAAACGAGTACTGCACGAACGCTGCGAATACATCGTTGAAACAGACTTGTAGTTTTTGAAGTGGTCCCACGCCGACTATAATCACCTGATGGTCTTATACCTTCTATAGTTGAGTTGTTGTGTAGGTGCAATTTCCTTTGTAAATCTCGTTTTCAAAGGTCATATGCCTCGAGGTCAGCTTGTGGTGTCGTATTAGTGAGCGCAGTGGCAATAGCTGACTGCGATCTTGCCGTCTCTTAGAAATTGCCAAGTGGCTATTCATTGTCGCTGTCATCTCTCATGGAGTTGTCTGGACCGTACACTCCAGGTCATAATGATACGGTCACCCATAGTGGTGCCAATAACTCCATAACTAATGCGAGTTAGATGCTGTCGTTTAGGTGTGATCTGCGCAAAGCTTAAATATACCCTTCTGCAGTGTTAAAAATCGATAATATGAATCGATCTCATAGCTCACATTCATGAATATGCTTTTTTGCCCGACAAAAATTTTACGGTAGAAAACACTAAAATTCAAGTGAAAATGTCAATGGTTTCTGCATGTCTATACTGCGATGAGCATTTGATGTCAAAATCAGAGTAGGAGTGAGCCTTGATTCCATGTATTTATAAAGACTTCGGTTCAAAGCTGCTGTATCGGGGCCCCTTTGCTTGGGTGCCACGAAACTTCACGTACACCCATACGTGCAGATGAAGGTAAATCTACTTAAGCTACTAATCTAAGTAAAGATTAAAAAGAGAACTGTGGTTAATATAGTTAAGCTATCGATATAACTTCAAACTTTATTTAACTGTACTTATCCACATTGTCGTGTGAAGACAACCTGCTTACCACTCATTGCGCGCGTCTAACAGCGATTGGTGGTCGCCTTGGATAATATATCTTTATCAACCAATCTTCTAGCAGCACGTAACAATTATCCTAAGGGATAATGTTCCTTCAACATTACCTATCTCGGGTAATATTGACAGGAAACTGACACGCTAGACAATCTCTCTATCGGCATCGTTTGGTGTCAAAAATCATGAAATGACATACCCTGTTACATCACCCCCCTAGCCATCAAACACTCGATGATTGAATAAAATTGGAAGCGGACATGTTGATCACTGTTAGATCACTTTGGGAAGGGAAGCACTTGTTCGTCAAATTCCAACTCACTTCCCAATTCCATCGCATGGTTTCGAAATCCACGCGGTGCACTGTCGAAGCTGCCAAGAAGAGGGCTGGTCGCATGCGAGCAGCCAGAGAGTGTACCTTTTAAGTCTCAGCAACAGGTAACTGTTCACCTGCTGTTGCAAGTTAGCAACAAGCTTTACCTGTTAAAGCTGGTCCACGTGGTGAGTCGTCACGTACGAGAGATACATACGCTGCGTCTGCAGTAATAGTTGCAACTCGCAATAAAGATGAGCCTAAAAAAGAGCTCATCTATTCTGGCGCGTCGTATGATGCATCCGACTCGAAAGCGGTGCCCCTTTGCCTCCGGATTACCCGGGGAGGACACTGCCAGAGCCAAATTGACATTCTCTGGGAATTCGGGGTTATCAAGTCCGACATCTTCGGACCAAACGATTCGTCTGACGAGTCTCGTCCCACGCAAGTCCATCTGACAATAGGACGCGTGATGATGGTGGTAAAGCACATGTGCGTCACCACGAGAGAAGCAACTTGATATACCGAGCTGCTACTGGTGTCAGTGCTAATGCTGACACCACTCATGAGGCCAAGGACCGAAAATTACTGCGCCATGTCCCTCGACTAGAGCCTCCTTGAATGCCATCAACTTGGGAGTTAGGCCTAGGGGCATGTGTGACCACTGATTAGGATCAAATCTCGTTGTTCGTCTGTAGGAGGATCTTTCCTCCAAATTCCATCACGGCTGAGGAAGAATTTTACATCGATGTGCTTTTCAAACATCGGTGGTACAATGGCAACCGTTGCCTCGACGGTAAGGCCTTGATGCAGGGATGGAATGCCTTCGATTTGTAACATCGAGTATATTGGCCGTGAGGCCTGGCTCGGTAAACTTGATGCAGCTTGCATTAGGTTTGAGAAGCGAAACCCAGCCGGTGTATGATACAAGTTGCACCGATTGTCAAGAGAGGCAAAATTAATCCGTCTCACGTGTGGTGATTAACATCCAGGTTGCCTGGAAAATGCTAATTGTGCCCATAGTGAGGCCTCCCTCCCCAATGTTGCCTACTGGAGGGCGCGCATCTCTTTCAAGATTGACGAGGGAATTGAAACTTTGCAATCCCTGTACTCGCGTTCGGGAAAGTCGTTTTCCGACGGCCCTTCTTCGAACACAGCGGGTGGGTCTCGTCATATTGCTCGACGAGACCCAGGACATCAACGATCAGCTGAGCACGAGGCTCCCAGATGTCCCACGCCGGTGGATATCCACTCCAGCGGACGAGGTAACTCGTCCGGACGCCATTCACGTCGCGGTGGTTCAGATTACGCTCCACGAGAAAGCGTTGACTACCGCCAGAATCCTTCAATGGATGTGGTGGTGGAGAAAACACCTGATTTGGCTCGAGGGTCGAATCAGCTTGATGTTCAGGAGCTGAGCCGTGTAACCGATCAGTTAGACGATGACTTGGCTCATGAACTGAGTCGGCCTTATGAGCTTCATGACCTTGTAAGGGAAAATTACAATTCCTTAGCGTACAATCGTTCGAACGATCGTGCCGATTTTACGTTCGCGCAACTTGAAAACGAACATTCTACTCGTTCTTTTTGTGACGAGCTGGCTGCAGCTCGTCAAGACATCGCTCAACTGCGTGAACAGGTCGCTTCGCTAGTCGACCATACTGGCTCGTTGAAACGGGACCACTTGAAGGTGGTCTCGGCTTTTGACCGCGGAGGTGTTCTTCGCCTCTCGAAACGGACTCAAACCGATACTACGGGCAGAGACGTCCAATGTTAAACGTAGGATGCGTACGCGTCCTACGAGGCAGTCCTATCGTGTATGCGTTGCCCATACGGCGTAACACACGAAATGGACCGATATAATTGGGCAGTAATTTGCTGCTGCACATCTTTGTCACTGCGTTTCTCGGTAGATTTACTGTAGACAGTAAACTAAATCTCATTCATCAAATGATAGAACATTTTCTCGTCCATGTTTGTCTGCATTTCTTTTCTATCTGTTTATTGCATCTGCAATAAAGTCTTGATCGAAGCGGACAACCGCTTCGCAAGTCAGCAGAAATTCCTCTGCTGATTCATCCTTGTTAACAGCAGTGCGCTTCGTGTACACTGCTGAAAGAACGTTTTCTTCACCAATGAGGGCGTCATCGTCCTCACTGTGACAGTCGTTGGAGATGCTTAGTGTACCAGCATTGTCTTCATCATCGTCATTGGTTTCGGTGTGATTGACATCGGCATCCATCACGTCGACACCATTGTCGACGTGTAATGAACAAGACCCAGACCAGTTTTTGTTCGAGAGAGTCCACCTTCCCCCTTGAACAAGAGTCCAGGCGGGTAAACGTGGATGGCGTAGGCCATTCACAAAGAACGTTGGATGCGTTGTCGACGCATGCACCGAGTGGTGATGGCGAATTCTGCCATTTCCAAGAACTCACTCTAACTCGTAAACGAGTGGACGTACCCTCGAAGTATCTCTTCGAGGACACTGTTGACGCGTTCCGTCAGAGTATCTGTTTTTGGATGGTCAGAAGTCGACATCTGTAACCGTGATACAAGTGAACGGAACACAGATTGCCAGAACTCCGCTGTGAAGCGGGGGTCTCTGTCAGACGCGAGTTCACGAGGTAATCCGTGAAGTCGGAAGATAGTATCGATGAAGACACGAGCACAACCCTGGGATGTGATTGACTCCGGTACAGCAACAAGATTCACCACCTTGATGAACCTATCAGCAAACATATGAATACCAGTATTCTTGTAATTGTCTTTGGGAAACCCGAAGACGAAGTCCATCGATATAGACTGCCAACAATCTGCCGGAATCGGAAGAGGCTGCAAGGGTGCGCGGGATGAAGGACTAGGCTTCTCCTGTTGACAAACTTCGCAAGCTCGAATGTATTTCTGCACAAACTCATACTGGCGGGCCAGTAGAAGTCACGACTCTCCGTGAAGTAAGTCTTTTCTCTACCACGATGCCCACTTGTTGGGGCATCGTGACCCTCAAACATGATGCGCAATCGCAAATCATCTTGAGTGCGAACGACGACACGAGGTGTGTCGCCGTTGACTGCTGTATAGTATAGTAGTCCATCACGAACAGAATACTGTTCGGTTGAGGAGCGTTAGTGAGACGACAAGCTTTTCAAAGCTTGACTGCAAGATATAGACACGTAAACCATCTATTGCAGAAAAGACTCATCTTCTGCGCAAGCTTTCCGCATGTTATGGAGCAGATTCGACGACGGAACACTCACTGATTGTGTTGCGACAGTGGGATCACCCGTACTGTTGGGTTGAGCAGTCGGCTCCAAATCGGGCCGACGCGAAAGGGCATCAGCGACGACATTAAGTCTTCCTGATTTTTCTCAACATAGAGGTTGTACTCCGCGAAGAAAGACAGCCACCTCGCCATTCGTTGCAAGGGGTAAGGACTGTTCACGGCCGTGCGTAACGACGCATGGTCGGTATATACGATGTAGGGTCTATATCCTAAGAGATATACCCGAAAAATAGCCAGTGCATATTTCATTACAATTAGTTCCTTTTCATGCACTGGGTAATTACGCTCAGCTGCTTGCAGCTGACGCGATTGACAACAGACGACACGCTCAACGCCGTCTGAGGCGTACTGCATTAACGCACAGCCGATCGCAAATCCGCTGGCGTCAAAGACCCCTTGGAATGGTCTGTCTTGGTCGCAATCGCCAACACAGGCGATTGTGTCAAGCTTTTTTGACACTGTGGTCGAGCGATTTTGGAAGAAAGAGCGATCGATAAAGGGAGTTATCTCCAACGGCTACAAATCGTTGAGAGGGAATGTTTGGTTGATAAGAGGCGCAATACTGAAATCGAATATCACATTATCGAGATCGAGTATTACGATACCGAGATCATATTTTGCAATTCTGCAACTAAAAATCACGACAATGGAATCGAATGTCAAGTTACCAAGATCAAGCCAAGGTACCGAGATTGAGGAAGTATAAGATGTTCAAGGCCGGGGATACGGCTGACGGATTGGCAGCGATCAAGGTCCTGGAAGGCGATCGACAACCGGTCGAAGAGATCGAGATCGATCGAGAAGACAAAATGATCAAGGAGATCGACTGTCGAGGAGATCAACGATCGGACAGATCAGCGATCGGACAGATCAGGGATCGGCCAAGAAGATCGACGATTAGCGATAGGCCAAGGAGATCGACGATCAGTGATTGGTCAAGGAGATCGACGATCAGCGATCGGCCACAGAGATCGACGACCGGCGATCGCTCGAGGAGATCGTCAAACGATCGAACAGATCGCATTCCGGGAGAATGGCGACCGAAGATATCGGCAATCGGCCTGAAGTGGACCACACATGCGAAAATCAATCACCGAAAGAAAAAATGACATGTGGCAGAACGCCCTAGCATATAGACAGGCGTATTCAGAATCTTAGCTTTTGGTTGGTTAACATTGAACAGAATTTAATCTGCTTCTAAGTACACGCGTCGACTTCTCTTCCGAGCTGAAATATTGGCCTCCCGACGTCAAGAAAGTCACGTATCTTAAAACCAAGTGATGTCCTCAAAACATTGGCTGGGGATCAAGAATTTTCGCTCCCCCCAACTGCGATCGGACGCAGCAAGAATGAAAAGGACAAGACGCAAGATCGCGAGTCGGCTCAAGTGGTCAGAAGGCTCGCGTATCAAGCATCCCTACAGTGGAGAAGGCGATCTCGTTGAGATCCGGGTGACTTATATCAAACACCCTACAAGTGCCCCATGATCGCGCAAAGATTTCCGCCCGATCACACCAACCCATTCCAAACAGGTCAAGTTTTTTATCGACACGAGTCCACCGAGAAGAGGGCAGCCCGCCCTACCGATGGGTACACAAAAATAGAAAGGAATTACAGGACACGGATACGGAGCTTCTCCTCCGAAAGTCGGTCGTCTGGGAACCAGTGAAGAGCCGGGATCGTCTCATATAATGAGCGGCAACTCCACCACAGTTGTGCGCGCGCCGGATTCAAACCATGGATTTCACAATAATTCCATGAGTGAAGATGAGAAGGTCAAGATTAAATCTGGAATGAAAGCGTATGAGGCAGAGGAATCGCCAAGGACGCGTCTTTTATAAGATCTCCAGAACGTCAGAGGTTTGGGAGGGGATCTGATGACAAGAAAAACTAAGAAGAGGATCGAATCTAAGAGCTAAAATATAAACCTCAATTCCCTCCTCGGGACCCTTCAAGGACCACCGCGGACCGTGCTGCAAAACACGATACGCTGGGTTAAATCCCTTTAGCGAAAACTAAACAAAACCTACACAAGACCACTCAGGCAATGTCGACGAATAAGATAGTGAAGACAGATGGAGTGAAGAAAGACAAGTCCAGATCGGATCAACACGATCGGAGTGCGAAATCGATCGAGCTACCGATCAAGTTTGTAAATGACGCTCTGAATATGAAGATGAGAGGCTGGCAGTTGGATCAATTGGCACAGAGACATCGCTTAAAGGCGCTCAAGAATCTGCTATCAAACGACCTAGTGCTAAAGATACTGAAGCCCAAGCGGATCGGAGAAATTCAAGGTCCGATATCCCCACCGAAAGCGGCAACGAAATCGCTATATCAAATTAACGCAATCATCAAGCTACTACATGACGTTGGATTCGTCGCTGCGGTGCTCGATGTGAACGAGCTGCTACAGTTCGATCAAGATCAAGTGGTCCACGCGTTTCAGACACTGTATGACAAGTTGATTTCCCTGACGGGGAGGTACGAATCTACAGATCAAGATGTCAATGCGATCGCCAACGTCCCAAGATGATACCATACCGGATCGTCGCAATACGCCTCGGAGGAATCCGAGTTGAATTTGTAAGATGCGGTCGGTATTCGGAGGATGTCTCTGGGCTCAAGTGGGGTAGCGCATCTGCGTGATCGGTTTGAGAGGATTTAAGGTCCAATCGCGATCAAAAAAAGTCGGCGCAAACGGCCAAATGACTCCACTGAGGCAAGGAAATCTGCAGAGCTACCTCACTGAAGCCATGGAACGCTTTCAACAAGATCAGCGGGAACTGGCATCTCAAGCGATCTACACAAGTCAAAGGATCAAGCCTGCAAAAATCCGCGATACATAAACACGGGATGTCGAGATGGAATCGGTGCGATCCCATATTAGTCGATTGGATTCCTCGATCGTAAGGATGCTGATCCCGACGATTTGGGCCAAGATGAGCGACGATGTGCGATGATGGCCACCACAGAGACGTCGCAGGAGGGTGGTGAAATTCCACAGCGCATTCGAGTGTCAGCAATGACGGGCTGAAGGAATTCAGTGGAAAAGATCGGGACGAAGATCGAGCTTAAAGCTGGAATCGCAAGGTTAAGTCGGAATTTTTACACGATCAGGCATTAGATGAAGAAAATTGGTTGGTGTTCGGCGACCTTTTGACGGGACCCGCACGAAACTGGTACAACCAGCTGAACCGATCAACACGACACCAGTGGAAACGACTGCTAAATTGTTAATGGTACAGTATGGAGGATAATGTGTGTCAGTGGCCAGGTAGTATTACCTCGCGCGGAAACGATCCGATGAAACCCCGTTGGAATATTGGCGTTGTCCTAATGTCGGAGCCAAGAATGCAAATACCGCGATTAAAGAAGAAAGAGCGGCTACCGCCGCCACGCGCCGCGAAGATGTGGAACATTTCATAACTAAGCTGGACGATCGCGGCTTGGCGAAACAGCTGACCCTTTTGAGATTGATGAATATTGAGGAATGTAAAGAACTCTCCGTGTGTGTCAACGGGTGAAGAGTCGTTAGATGAAGGGGTCGATGGGTTCGAAAAAATATCATCAGCGAGCAACCGCACCTTCAAATCCAGTGGCGTCCAAGACGAATCGTGCGGTGCGAGCGATCCGAGAGAAGGTCGAGAAGGGGGGATCGGAACCGGAGTCGACTGGATCCGAAGACGATTTAAGTCGTCGTCGTGTTTGTGTAACGACTACACCCGGTCAAGATCAACAGAAAAAGGATCAGCGTACCTGGCAGAAGGAGACTGTTGAAGGAGAAGGACGCGATCGTAGTGGAAGATCGAAGGCGTGTATCCATTGTTGGTCTACCAGACACGATGATCGAGGGTATTGAAAGCGGTTGACATGCCAGAAGTGTGCTTGCGAGGGACATCACTCGGACAAAGTTTTATTTGTGTGGGCTGCCTGCGGGGAGAAACATGGAAGTGGTA